TTTCTTTCTTTCTCAAGACATACTTAAAAAAAAAAGAGGTTTAATTTTTATATATTATTACTTTAACTAATTTTAACTATTTTCTTAAACCACATAATTTAATTAATGAGATGTTATAAATAGGACCAGTAGAGCATCGCTTTGCTTAAGATTTTACAGGTGATAGAAATTGAAATACTTTATGACAGATTAAGGGCTTGTTATTAAGTGGTTATAAATTGAGATAAAACGTGACTTGGCAATAACTGAGACTTTTGAACGCCTTTTCATTTCTTGGTTACGAGAAATAAATGGACAGTGCACCGAGTTAAAGACGGCTGAAGGGACAAAAATAAATGGGATGTGAACGGATGATACGGTCGGTGGCATTTAATTAGAGCCGTCGAAACGCCTTTAACCCTTTTTTAAGTAAAAAACCGGGCTTGTATTTTAGGATATCGAAAAAATTGGGTTTAAAAGAGTTAATCTTTCAGGATTCAGAAATAAAAAGATCAGTCTTTTTAAACCCATTCTATTTTTTAATTATCAGAATATTTATATAATTGTTGATTAGTTTAAGTCTGAATTAGAAAATCATTTAGAAGAACCAATACTTAATTCATATAATTAAAATCAATTAGACATCTTGAATCGTTGGAGAGACAATTAAAATCTACTTTCAATTCTCTCAAGAACTGTAAATTGATATTCTTTGCATTCCAATTATTATAACAGCTAACGAATCTTCTTTTATCATCGATTCACATGTTTGAACAAAATATAGAAATTTTCTTATTCTAACAAATGTTTAGGCTTTTATTTGTACTTGTAACTACTACGGGCTTGTTTGGATTGACTTATAAGTAGCTTTTCAAACGTGATTTACGGAATACGAGATAAGTATGTGAGGAGAGTTTTGTCTCGGCTTACGTGAATTTGCTTAAAAGCCCATTTAAACGGAGCTCCAAAGCCTGCAAGGGTCGGGTCCGACTGGTTGGAAAAGGGGAAGGCAAGCGCCATGTACCCGCCAGGTCTTGGGCTCGATTCCTCGTAGTGGCACCCACGAGATTAGTCTGGCCTTGTGTTGGGTGTGTTGGGATACTCGGAGTTAGCGATAACATCCTACTCAAAAAAAAAACGGAGCTCCAAACAAGCCATACATAGTTTTACTTTAATAAAAGTGATGAAAATAAAAACCTTGATATTTTTATCACTGAAGAAGAGCTCATCTCTAGTAAAGAATATCAAATATTGTTGACCTTGATGCTTGTGATAAATATGAAGATAATAATATGTTGATGTTGTTAATCTTTAGTTGTATAGTTTTTATCTTTTGCTTTCCTTGTTTTATTTTTTTTTAAGTTTAAATAATAATTCATTAGTGTTTGATGTTTTCTCTATATATCATTAGTTTATTTTATTAATTATAACTTGAATAAAAAATTTTAAATGTTTCATTGTTTTTTTTTTTATTTCAAAATAATTGAAAAGAATTTAAATTTTAAAAAAATTACATAAAAAAGCTAGTTTTTTAGGTTTTTAACTCATTTAATAATATGATAATTTTAAAATATATGGGTTTTTAAATGGCCAGCCTTTTTAGATCTGACTCTTTAAGGTTAATCTTTAGGACCTGATCGGTTTTTTTTTTACAGCTCTACATTTAATTGGGGTCATAAAGGGGCCTCAACGAATTAAATGCTTTGTAAACAAACATTTGTGACCGCGTTCTTGCCTCCTTCCAGTCCCTACCGACAGGCAACTTGCCTCTTCAACCGCTTTACTCTTTTTTTTTTAAGCCGAACCTCTTTGCCCTTAGTTTTGATCTGTTTATATTAAATGTTTACGTAAATTATTTTTCTTCTCATTTTTTCCTTTTATTTTGTAAATCAGGCTTCTGCACCATTCAGACCCATTTATGTCTCATATCCTTCTTTCTCTTCCTAAATAATTTATGTCTCATACTTCTTGTTATGATATATTCTTTTGGCCCTATTATAAAAGTAATTTTAGCATGTTTGATATAAATTAGAAAAAAAAGTTAACTGCATTTTCTTCATTAAAATATAACGTTTTCTAATTTTAACCCTTTTTAGCATATACACTTTTAAAAAAGTAACCATCTAACTATAATAAATAAACACTAAAAATTGAATGAATTGTCTTTAAATAAGATCAAGATAAACTTCTTTCTATCTTATACTATCTCTGGTCCTAATAAGACTCAATTGATTATTTTGAGAAAATTAAGAAAAAAATCACTTAATTATAGATATGTTACATGATCCCTTTAAAATTCTTATATGTATCATTAGATTATATTATAGTTTTATAATCCAAACATATTAGTTTTAAAAAAAATGATACATATTATATTTTTAAAATAACTTATTTAATTTTTTTAAAATAATAATAATCTTTTAATATTTTAATAAAAAACATATTTTAATTGTTACGCCTCCGTTGCTTTTTTTTTTTTGGTTCCTGTGGCGTAGGTACTTTTCGCGGGAAATTCTTGTGTGAAGGGAGGTGATACTAAACAGGCCTCACAAGTGAATATTCTCAATCACGAAATGGTTAATTGGTCCACAGCTTTTCTTCTGTTACATTTATATATAGGGAAATTACACTCAGGTCCCACAGAGTACAATTAATATCAAAAGGTCCCTGAAATCGCGAAATGATTCTGAAGTCCCCAGGGACCTGTGTGTAATTAATTCTAATTGTGAAATTACTACTTACTTACCCTTGTTAATTTTATTGCAACAATTCGTTCACAATCTCAACAGTGCTGTTAACAACCCGAGAAGACGTGATTGACAACCTCGGCAGTGCTCATGACAACTCACTCTGTGGAATGCCAGGGGCGTTGTTGAGGTTGTTAACCACCTCTTCTCGAGTTGTTAACAGCCACTGTTGATGTTGTAAATAGGTTCTAATTTTATTTACAATCTTAACAGTGCTGTTAACAACCCGAGAAGACGTGATTGACAACCTCGGCAGTGCTCATGACAACTCACTCTGTGGAATACCAGGGGCGTTGTTGAGGTTGTTAACCACCTCTTCTTGGTTGTTAACAGCCACTGTTGAGGTTGTAAATAGGTTCAAATTAACAAGGGTAACTACGTAATTTCACAATTAGAATTAATTACACACAGGTCCCTGGGGACTTTAGAATCATTTCGCGATTTCGAGGGACCTTTTTGATATTAATTGTGTTATGTGGACCTGAGTGTAATTTTCCCTTATATATATAAATATATATATATTTATCATCTATTTTCTCCCAACACATTATTTTGATATTTTCTATTTTTGATTTTTTCAGATAAGTCAGATGAAGGAGAGATTGGCGTTGTATGAGAACGACCCATCAGTAAAATTGATCATCTTAAGGTAAATAATTAAGCAGTGGAAGATTTCTTGACCGTTATCTTTCATTATTTAAATTATAAATAAACTTCGGATGCTGGCGTAATAGAAGCGTTAAGAATGCATTCAAAACAGAAAAAAAGAAGTGTAAGAAAAATATAACTCCATAACATATATAGACATTTCTTAATTAAATTATACTCCTTCCTGTCTTATTTATAAGTTTAAAGTTTGAGAAAGGATATGATTTACTTTATAAGTTTCAATTTGAATTTATCTTAACACTTAATGCAAATTGGCTTTAATTATTTATTTATCATAGCCCCTCTTATTATAGTTTTTTGTATTTTTTTGTCTTTTTTTATTTATTATAAGGGTATATTTGAAATAAAAATATACTTCTAATCTATTTATTACTGTTAACTAATTATCTACATTTATAAATTAATTATTTAAAATTTTGATATCGTACTGATGTCTTGCACGCGCATTTCTATTTTACTTCGATACAGGCTAATGGAAAAGCTTATTGTGCTGGCGGTGACGTGATATCGGCGGTCACTTCTTCAATTGCAGGTCGGCGAGATGTTTAGTTTCAATAAAAGATAAAAAAAAAACCATATTTTTATAATTTATATTAAATGTTAAACAAGATAGAACCGGATTTTTATTTATATAATAACGTGGAAATACATGGTTCAATAAAATTTTATAGCAACAAAAAAATTATATATTGATCATATTGTTGTAAAAATATTATACATTTTCCTTTATCAATCATCATACCTTTGTTGAACAACTTGGTAGTTGAAAAGAGAAAACTTAAATGTGTTCTCGTTTTAGATTAGACACTCTCATATATTTTATGAAGTGTGAAAAATTAATAAGTTCATATCTTATGAATACTTGATGTTATCATATATATATTGATATATTAATTTATTTAAATAACAAGCAATCAGAAATAGCAGCGTTGATTTATTGATGGTATTTAATGGAAGAACAGATTGAAGAGTTTGACATTTTAAAAAGCACTTAAAAAAGTGTTTTTGTGCAAATTGAGATAAAATGCATCTTAAATATTATAAAATTACTTTCAAAAAACTAATCCAACACCACAAAATAATTATGGGAACTCAAATTACTTGGTAAAGAGAGAATTAATTAAAAGAGCATTTTATCAGTATGTTACTCGTGTTATCAACCTGATTTTGGACGTTTTAAATATTTATTTTCCCTGAGGTTGTGAACTAAAATATGTTATGCTTATTTTTCATTTTGCTTTAAATATTTTGATAATTTAATATTTCGATTTTTAATGTTAGGCTCCTTCAATTTCTTTAATATTATATTATTAATATATTTTATGGAAAATAAATTTGGTGTGTATATATACATTGCCTGTCCGTGTGTGATTAATCTTCAAATTAAAGTTCAAAGATGTTCATGTTCAACATAATGGTGTGATTGGAAATAGGACACTGGACTTACCCAGCAAGCTTTTACAAGAAACAACTTACATTAGATCATTTGATAGCAACCTACAAAAAGCCAGTGGTGAGCTTGCTAGTCTCCCCTCAGATTATATATTTTCATTTTTAATTTCTAATCGTATAGTAAAAGAGACATTTATTGGTTCAATTAATAATATGAAGGTGTCTCTCATTAATGGAGTGGTTATGGGAGGAGGCGCCGGTCTATCCATGAACACAAATTTTAGAGTTGTCACTGAAAGAACTGTATGCTTCATCTTTTTTCTTCTCTCTTACATGCTCTCTTTGATTTTATTTATGGGACATGTTTTAGAAGCACGTAATTGTCTTAAATATTAGAAAGAATTTCACAGAAAGAAGTTTAAAATTATTAAATTCTAAATAAATAATTCCTATAAAAATATGTTATTATTTTTTTACAGTATTTAATGAGTTATTTTTTAAAATGAAAATATTTAATGATTGTAAGGGAGACGTATAAAGGATAAATGATTCAATTTTAAGAAAATTTTAGTACTTAAGTTAACTTACATTAATTAGTGAATGAGTCAAGAATGACTCAGTATGCATTATAAGAACAAAAGGAGAAACTAATTTCAACTTTTCAACAAAATTCAGCTGTACTATTCATGAGGATCAAAAAGTTGTATTATTCATAATTTCTTTTAAGCAGTACACAAATTCCATTGGCTATCATACAAATTATTAATAATTAATAAATAGTAACTAGTTAGTAATATTGAGTCTCGTATTGAATCATTACACTAATCTTATATCGTTTATTTAATTAATAGGTGTTTGCTATGCCAGAAGCATCAATAGGACTCTCCCCAGATGTGGGTGCTTCATATTTTCTCTCCAGGCTTCCTGGCCATTTTGGTAATATTCTAATTTAGGGATAATTAATCTGAAAATCCCTGTAGTTTTAACTAATTTTTAATTAAATAGTTATAGTTTTTTAATGAGAAAATTGGAGACAAGGATCCAAAGAAGATGATATATATATATATATTAAAGAGTATCCTAAAAGTTATAATTATTTAGGAGAGCAAATACTAAAATATAAACTTAAAAAAATACTAAGTTGCTCCTAAAACAGGATGAAGAAGGCGCATCAATTCAAGGTATGGAAAATTTCAATGAAAAGTTTTAGATGATACTCTTTGTTCTACGTTTTAATTTGTTCATAAAGGGTAGCGGATTTAGCAGATCCAGATATAAAAAATAGCTATGATCCACCCTAAATTCACGAGAATAATGGAAGATGAAGCTTATCAGGCAAGTTCTTTTTTTTTTAACTATTACAGGATGACAGAGTAGATGCTCTGAGACCAACATAGTAAAATGAAATGTGAAGGCTCGCTGATTGTAAAATTTTCTAAAAACAGAACGTAAGTTCAATTAATGTATAATTATTTAGTCAAATTAATTAATTATATTAATTATTTTTATAATTAAATAATTATTAATTAAAATTTATTATTTTTATTTTATATTTCACTATTATCATTTAACTAATTTTAATTTAGATTAAATCAAATTAAGAAAATATAGGGACCCGATTAAAAATTCAGTAAAATTATAAGGATATGATAAAAAGAAAAAAAAACTGTAAAGACCAAATTAAAAACAAATGAAAGTATAATAATCTAATTTGAAAATTGGCAAAACCATGAGAACTTGCAGATTGATTATCCCTCTAATCTAATACATTATTATCGACATTTACTCTTTACAATTCCAAGTAGAAAAATATCTTGATAACAAGCAACTATACTTATCCCGATTCTCCAATTTGCATCACATCATATATAGGGGAGTACCTAGGATTAACAGGAAGGCGTTTGAATGGAGCAGAAATGTTTAAATGTGGCTTAGCGACTCATTTTGTCCCCTCCAAGGTGTGTGTATATATCTGTTTATAACGTTGTATCATCATCCACCTCTCATAGATTTTCTCTTCCACAACTTGAAATTATAACAGTGTGACATTATGCATTATAAATAGTAAAATTCACATCGCCCTCTTTCTCCTACGCAACAGAAGCTAAATTTGCTGGAAAAAGCCCTATACTCCGTGACAACTTCAGATAGTTCAACAATTACGGCATTAATTGATAAATTTACTGAAATAGTTTATCTTAAGGAAGGCAGCCCCTTGAAGAGGTAATTTTATGGTTATTCTGTTTCTTAATGTACACGCCCTTTTCTCGTAGCTTAAGCCTGAGACATAACAATAGATGATACTCTTTCGGTCTTTAATATAAGACCCGTTTAACTAATTTGATTATATTAAGGAATTTAGGTAAGTTAGTTAATTACAAGAACAGTGACACATTTTTCCTAAAACACCATAATCATTTTTCTTAATAACCCCTCTCCCTCTTCTACTTGATTATGGCTGAGGGAGTATCCATATAGATAATTTAGAGAAAATTAATAAATATGAGAAATGGGTCTTATATTTGGGACCAAAACCAACTCAAAAATTAGATTCTATATTAAGAACCGGAGGAGTATTATATATGTGCGTGTGTGCGTGCGTGTGTATTTTTCTCATTTGTTTGATTTTCTTCCTTTGGTTTGTGTATATATATTTCAAATGCTTAGGATCATTGTTAATGAAATCAACCATATGGCTGTACAGAACCATTATAAAAAGTCGCAAAAAAAAGAGAGGGAATATTGTATATAGTCATTCCCTTGCCAAACAATATTTCATCAGTTCTTGTTAGTTTACTAACAGACTGGACACAATCAACAAATGCTTCTCAAAAGGAACTGTTGAGGAAATTGTTCTATCATTGGTACGCATAGTTGAATTTGATGTTCATTTTTCATTCTCAGAAAAAAAAAATTAAAATCAGGATTTCTCGTCAGACAAGAATTAATATCTTATTTGAATAATGACATAATTTTCGCAGGAAAAGGAAATAGAAGTGAATGGAACAGAAAAGTGGATTGCAGATGCATTAAATTACATGCGTGGATCCTGTCCTACAAGCCTCAAGATATGGCTTAGATCAGTGAGTATATTAACTAAGATGTATATATCATTGGAAATTACATTCAAAACTTACAAATTAATGTGATTAGGTGAGAGAAGGCAGAGTACAAAGCATTGAACAATGCCTTAATCGGGACTACAACATTAGCTGCCATTCCCTACGAAGAACTGTCAGCAATGATTTCTACGAGGTCAGAACTATTTGACAAAAAATGCCATTAACGTGGTGTAGTTTTAACTGTTGAACTGTCCTCTTCACTGCTCATAATTGAAAGCATCAATCTATCATAATTATATTCTATTGTGGCAAGCTTCATTTAATTTGAACAGACCTTTACAAAGCTCGTATTGTCTTGCAGGGTTCAAGAGCAAAGCTGTTTGATAAGGACAACAAGGCTATGGTAAGACAGAGAGAAAGATATAGGCTTCAGTTTTCAATATTTGATTCTGCTTATAATATTGCATGACAATGTTGGTTGCTTTTATTTGTGTTTTGGTGTTTTGATTAGTGGGATCCTCCAAAGTTGGAGCTGGTTAGTGAAGAAATGGTAGATCGGTACTTCAGGGAGGTTGAGGATGAGAATTGGGAGCGTCTGCACCTTCCTCGTAGGTCAAACTTACCCTGCAAGCTGTAGACTGAAGCCATGTGGAATAGTTATGGCATGGAAATGGAGAGGCCTTTTATACGGAAAAGGACCTATATGTAATATTTGGGAATTAAATGATCAATGTCTTGCGTGTTTTGTTTATTATTTTAGTCTTGTTTTGGTTTATAATGTTGCAAAATATAGCATGGACTTCTTAATTATTATTGGACATGGAGTCGCAAGCTCAGATGAAATTTCTATAATTTTTTAAGGGTGAAACTGTTAAAGCCTTTATGCCGAGTCTGAGCAAGCAAGCCCACTATTCCTTATTTTCTTAAAAAATAATTAATTCAAGTCATTTTGTGTGCTTATCACAACAAAAAGAAAAAAGAAAAAAGATGCTTTCTTTAATTCAGTTCGTGTGTGACTATATACACCTTGTTGCCTCCAAAGCGAGCTGTGGTATGTGGAAGACTCGCCATATCTGCAAGAAATCACAGACGCAGTATTGATTGCTTCAAAGTGACTCTGAAAATATTAAAAGACGAAAATATATATATATATATATGAAAACCTCCCTGACTTTAATAGGTATATACACATAACCGGGTATTCTTACGAAGCCACTGCAAACAGTAACCCCAAAAAAAAAAACCAAAATACTGTAGGGTGGGAGTTATTTACCAAAATACTACATATAAAATTGTTCTTAAGATGAAATTTGACATTATCTTCGAGGAATCTTAAAACATTTTGTTTATTTATTTGAAAATCTTCATAGTTTAATTTATCTCAGTTTCAAATCCATTAGCTTAGCCTCTCTTTTTTTCACTCTTAAACTTTCTTCCATTAAAATTTAAAAGGGAGAATTACAATTAGGTACAAGAAAAGAATTTAATTACTTTAGAATCCATTAACAAGTGAAAAGTAAATAATAACAAGTTTTAAACTAGAAAATAATAACAGATTCAGGCTCATTAGAACTTTGTAGTAATTAAATTTCTGTCTTAAGACCTCTTCGTAATTCTCCCAGTTTAAAACAGTTAATTCAAAATTGAACACCGTTAAAATTTAGGTTAAAGGGCGGATGGATTCTGAATCATCTTTTCTTACGCAGCTCCTTCCGGTAACTCCCAAGCTTTCTCTCTTCTTTCCCACCATTATGCATCCCATATTATGTTCTCTTTTTTCTTTTTTCAGTTATTAATTATATTTCTTACTCTTCTTTAAGGACATATTTCGAAAAATAATATTTAATTTTTACATATTTATTATTACTGGAATCCCTGTACCCATCGTGAGGGAGGAGCCATGGGCCTGATGCAAGCGTTCTTGAAAGTAATGTCATCAAACAGGTCTGACTTTTATGCTCTGCTTGGATGGATGGGAAGAAAAGTTGAGAGGAAAAAAAAAAATGAGAGGAGAGAAAATAGAGAAAAGGAAAAACTGGAGGGAAGTTGTGATCATCCCTCTTGTTTGGATGGATGAGAGAAAATAAAAAGGAAAGAAAATTAGCATATATCTAAATGATTAAAATGTCTTTATCAAAATATATCATATTTACAATTAAATTAAATTAAATATTAGAATAGGAAAATTATACTACCATTAGCATCATCAAGTAATTTAAAATCAAGTTATTTGGTTTGTATATATTTTCAGATTATTATATTTTAAAACCAAATTATTTAATAAAAATATTGTTTTAAGATAAAAAAAAGTGAATAACTTTTTAAACATAATAAAAAAATAAATATGGAGAGAAAAAGAGAAGAGGGGCAGTCATGGAAGTCTTGTTTTCCTTCCTAAATCTCTCTATATATGGAGAGAAAATAAGGTATGAAGCCCACTTTATTTTCTCCTCTACTTTTCCTTCCTCCTACATTTTCTCTTCTATCCAAATAAGAGAAAGCTTGTTTCTCCTCATATTTTCCTCTTTAGTTTTTTCTCCTCTCTAATTTTCTCTAAGTCCAAACAAGGGGTTAATGCCAAGTTTTCCGAAAGAAATGTACGAGGCAAGGGCTTTGAAATAAAATTGGCAAGGGATCATCCTCTTTTAACTGACGCGTGGGCTTCGATTCCTGTTTAGATAGAGAAAAAGTTAAATTTTCCGGCCAACTATCTCACCTTGCCTACAATTAGCAGATGCGGATAAGTTTGGACCGTTAATTTATCTGAAAGATGATTTGTTTAGCCAAAAGCGGGTAAGATGAGTTCAGTTCCCAAAAAAAGAAAAAAGGTCAATAAGAGGTCAGTAAAAGAGACGTAAAGTAGATCCTTGAAGGTGACGTGACTACACAAATGGTTTACAAGCAAGCATTTATGATCTGGTGCTGGGGAGATAAGCCAACAGCGTGTTTATTATTTTAAATATGGTTTTTATTTAAAATAATTGATATATATGCACTTTATTATTATTTTTTTCCCTCTCTCGTTTTTCTTAAAAGTGACGCCAAACCGGTCCGGTTTTGAATGCCAAATTTTTTTTTCAAAAAAAGAGGTTGTGAAGCATCTAGAAGGCTAGGACTTTGAGATAAAGTAATTAAAAGGACAATTAAAGGTTGGCTTAAAAAAGGACCGCTAAAGAGGCGTTTGCGAAGAAAAAGACAAAAGTAGGACCCATAGGTAATGGGACCATACTCAAATTCACTTTAACTAATTTATTAAAAATTAAATGATAATTAAACATTAACTACTCTTTAAATGATTTATATTTTAGACCAAATCATCATTTTTTTTTATTGTAAATAGAAATGAGTACATGTGATTTTTAAGTAACAGACTTTAAATTTGTCTTTAAAGACCCATTTTGTAATATCCAATATAAAGCTATGCCATACTTAAACATACAAGTAGCACATGCGTGTGTTTACTAAGGTACATAAAAGAAGAATCTTAACTTTTGTTTTAGTTCGCTAAATAACCATGATATATAAAAAGAGATACCATACCCAAGCACATATCATGGTTATAAAAAATATCATACTTACTACTTCACCTTAACCATGTTAGAAAAAAAAAAAGCTTAACCCCTAACATGGTTATTTAAATCCCCAACATACCTGGTTAACATAGACATGATATAAAATAAATCACAAGAAAGGCATAACTAAATGACCTACTTATTCAGATGCAATTGCCGCAATGTTCAGTTGTGGGTCTAAGGCCCCTAAAGCAATCAATAAAAATATCCATAGCTAAAGAAGCAAAACACTCTAGTAGTAATAACAAGTCTAAAATAAGCCAATAACAGTTTAAAGAACATCATGGCTCCTAGGTGGCAATTAAACGTAAACCAAACATAAATTTTAGAATCGAAGCGCAGTCACTAGTGTAAGTGACCTCACGCTTACAGTGCCTTCCCCGCTGCATCTCCCCTGCTGCTCTCACCTGAAATTGGTGAAGTAACGGAATGAGACCACTGTCTCAGTAACATAAATTCTACCCACCTTACCTACCAGTACCCTTACGAGGTGCCAAGTAGGACTAACAGTTCAAAATCAATAGTTACCAATAGCATACGAATAGCACGCAGACAGACATATCATTCAAGATCACATTAGGTCATAATATTCAAACTAAATAAAATGCAGCATAGTTGTCACATTATCACAATACATTAAATTTCCAGTTCCACCTTATAACCTCCTTATAACTGCCGACTGAACCCATGGGCTAATTGCTACCCACGTCATAACTGACTCTCACAAGCTTCCCACAAGTGTGATGCGGACCGGCCAAAGTCGACAGAGCACACAAGGGCCATGGGTTCCTCCAGAAAGGGTTACTACCCTGGGATACCTCTGGAGTGTCGCAAGCCCAGGGTTACTGCCCTGGTAATATGGGCCAGCCATAGAGCGCCATATGGCGGCCTACCACGTGGTCACAATATCATATGCTTCTGCACAATCTCCTCCCCAGAATATTATCCAATCACAATTCATAGTAATTTATCATATTCACATCCATAGCTATTCAATTTATATATGACATTCTCAACTATAACACACAAGACGATATTTCACAATTTCATGCTCATTCAGTATGGTTTGCCACAGCACCATATAAGTTTCCACAACCAACACAGATAACTAAAAATAATAATTAATAAATAATAAATGATAAATAGTAAATAAATAATTCTAAGTTGGACCACTCACTATGGCAAACATGGTCCTCTCATCCACCTCCTAAAGTTCCAACAAGAATTTCCTCTTCAACAAAATAAAGTCCCACAAGGCTAATTTAAAATCTATAAAAGGTTGCCATAATTCCTAATAAATCTTTTCGTAAAACGATAATCAAATCATCCTCATAAATTTTCATGCTTTGAAAGGAACTCGTAGGAGTCACCAGTAAGTAAGATGAATAGAATTCACGTTACCTGTTATCCTTTAGCTACAAGGATTCAAATAGCAATTTTCCAACAATCAATGTTCTCCGTAAGAGGCTACAAAAATCACATGTATAATATTAACATACAGTTTTGAACTATTAAAACCTAATTTCTTTAAAACTATCCTAAAGCCTTAGTATTACCCCATGGAAACGTACAGCTTCTTCTAGATTCATATTCCATTATAATTTATTTAGCTCACTATGATAACTAATTATATGAAAGTCTTGCGGTCTTCTTAGAATTTCTTAAGCCTTCAGATTCTAAATTAAACCAGTCTCATATTGTGTAGGTACCTATAACTATGGGTTGAAGAAAGAAATTATCCAAGACCAAAGAAAATGCTGAAGACTAAAATAACAGAGTTCACTCAAACTTTGACAACATATCTAGACATTATTACTTTTAATTCAAGTATATCACCATCAAAAATTTATTTAATTTGTTTATTCAAGTGCATCCTATTCCTCCGTACCTACCAATTCGTGCGTGTGTGTGTACGTGTGGCATGTGTGTGTGTGACCACTCCCCTCTACCTACTAATATATGTATCTATATGTGACCATGTGCGTGAGATGCTTCTGACATGAGGAAGGATGATTAGACACAAAAAAAGAAAGAGAGACGTGAGGGAAAGACAATGGGAGAGAGGAAATCAATAAAAGAGAATAAGAGAAGGAGCAAGTTCACACCTGCGTGAGATCTCCCAAAAGCCGTCCAGAGCTTGTGGCAACGTGAATGTATTTAGAAGAAGTAAGAAAAGAGAAGGGTTTTTGGGAGTATGGCGGCTGATAAGGATATTAGATGGGAGTAGGAGTAGGTTTTAGGTTTCTAAAATATATCCCTAAAACTTATAAAATTCAAATTAATTTTTTTTAATATAATCTTATATTTCTATATCTCATCTGATCTTGCTTACTATTCTTATTATTATCAAAATCCTATCAGATATGGTAATTTAAAATTTAAACCATTCTTTCCTAAATATAATATTTTTAAATATTTTATCCTCCTTTTATTTATCTTTAAATATTTATACATAGCTCTCTTTAATTATTTCAGATTCTTATTTTCTATTTAATCTTTACATCTAAATATATTGTTTCCCTTCTCTTTTATTTTATAAAAATTTTTTATATATATAACACTACCCGTACTAAGTCCCCAAACAAATAAAAAAAACATAAATTAAAAAAAGGAAAAATCCCAGAAAAAGCCCTTGGAATATACCAAATCCCAGATTGGGCCCTTAAATTTCGAAAATGACAGAATGGGTCATTGACCCAATCTGTCATTTGTGAAATTCAGGCGAATTGACATTTTTACCCCTGAGCAAAAGTGAGTAGTTATTCTCTAAACAAATCTAGGTAACGCTTATACTGTTCTAGTGATTACAAGATTCATTGTAGTTAATAATAAGGTACCTGACAGTAATAAGATACCTGACTATGAAAAAATGAGTAGTTATTCGTTACACAAATCTAGGTAATGCTTACATTGTTCTAGTGATTACAACATTAGTTGTAGTTAATAACAAGACACTTGACTATGAAAAAGTGAATAGTTATTCGTTATACGAATCTAGGTAACACCTAAACTCTTATAGTGATTCCTTGAATCATTGTAGTGAATGAATAAATGAGGGCAAAAATGTCAATTCGCCTGAATTTCACAAATGACAGATTGGGTCAATGACCCATTCTGTCATTTTTGAAATTTAAGGACCCAATCTGGCATTTCCCATATTCCAAGGACCTTTTTTGGGATTTTCCCTTAAAAAAATGGGATGTTACACATTTCAAATAACAATATTTTAATAGGTTTTAATAATATTGGACTTACAAATAATAATAGTTTTTTGTAAGAATTCTTTACTTAGAATTTTGTATTTTCCAACTTCTTGTTTTTAGTGATAATTATAATAAAGTCTTAATGAAGGAAAATAACTACCAAAAAATCCCAATAACAAGTTAGAAGTTGTTATTTTCTACTCTAGAATTTATTATTAAAGACTACTTAAGTTATTATTTAAATTTTCTAGTAATTATGTTTTTTCTTTAGGATTTGATTGTAATTCTCCCTTGTTTTTATGAGATTCTTCCTTATTTCTATGAATTTATCTTAGATGTGGTGACATTTTGAATGGCTAAATTTAATTTCGAACTCCGTCAAAATCAGCGCCATCAAACTTCTATATCCTTAATTATTGGCTTGACTAAATAATACTCCCTCCGTTTCTTATTATGAGAGACAAATAACCGAAATACATTGATAAAAAAAACAGTTAAAATTGGTTAAGAACAATTAATGTGTAAAAAGTATACTTTTTTTCTAAAAATATCCTCATTAATAAGGAGAGAGAGCATGAGAGAGAACAATTAAATTATTAAAAGAAAGAGAAGTGGGAGGGAGAGAGAGTGTGAGTTGGAGATAATAAATATGGGTAAAATAGAAAATCAACACAAAAAAGTAGAGACAACTTTTAAGTGTCTCTTATATATAAGAACATGCCATAAACATCAAATGTCTCTTATAATAAGGAACGGAGGGAGTATAACTTTTATAACTAATGCCAATAAGCAATAATGAAAAGTTAAGTTTAACAATTATGTTCTGGTAAAAATAATAATTGGAGCCAATGAGGCACCCTTCACTATTTAACTTCAAGCAGAGTCACATGCTAATTTTTTGTGAACGCGTGGTCACATTCCCTCCACAAGTTAAGAACCGATATTCCTAAACATTATATTACACACACACACACGAGATCCCTATAACCGTATGCATTATTACTTGTTATGGTAGAGTTCTTCACTTTCTCGTTCAGTCTTAGCTGAGAATTTGTGAGTCATTTTCAGAAATATGGCTTTGACGGTAAGCCTTGTGAGAGAAGCAGACCAGGTATCACTTTCTTGCTCTTTGATTGAAAATAAACAATGTAATTAGCTTTTATATTAAGAATAGCATGAAGTATCTCTTTGTTAGTTTAGGATTCAAGGTCCAAAAAATCTCTTCGTTTAGGATTTTACACTTGATGATAGAAATTGCAATACTTTATGGGAGAGGGAGGGAGGTGGGAGAAGACAGATTAAGGCATTGCTTGGCTTACTTAGATGTTTATAAGTACGTTTCATGTAATTTGAAACAAAACTCTATTCATATAATTACACTATATTTCATTATTTGAAAAGCTACTTACAAACCATTCCAAACAAGTCCTTAATTAGAAATGAGCTGCATATACCTATACTTTTATATTTTCAATTCCTTCATTATTTTTTATATGAAGAGAGTTTATAGAAGGGAGAACAATCTCGTGAAGGAAATGTGCTCGGCAATAATTGGGGCTTTTGAATGCCTTTTCATTTTTCGTTACGAGAAATAAATTCGATATTACTTAGAAAAATTGTATGTAGGTATTGAGCAAGAGACATTTTCATATTCCTTTTTTGAAAAAAAAATATTTTTCTGTTATATTTTTAATAAAACATCTTTCAATTTTTACTCCTCCATTGCCTTTTTATTTTTTGTGGTGTAGGTACTTTTCGTGGGAAATTCTTGTGTGAAGGAAGTGATACTAAACAGGCCTCACAAGCTGAATACTCTCAATCACGAAATGGTTAATTGGTCGAGCTTCTCTACTGTTAAATATATGAGTAAAATACATTGACTACCCCTCTATTTTACTTAAATTACAGAAACCTCTTTTTTATTTTGAAAATATATATAAACTTCTTTTCAAATTAAAATGTATGTTACACAAACCTCCCTTATATTTTTAAAATTCAATTTCCATCCATCCAACCGTTAGTTGACTGTTAAGTTTGACTTGTAAATTTTTATTTTGACCAAAATATCCCTATTTAACATAAATGTTGTTTAAACATGTATATCTTTAAAAAAAAATAATTTTTGATACAACAAAAAATAATTATAATGCATGTATTTTCAAAATTTTTAATATGTTATAAAAATTTTAATTTCAATTATATTGTAGAATTATATAATTTTAGTTCCTTATGAAATATTGAAAATTAAGATTTTTTTTAAATGGCCAGAAAATATTTTGAATGCTTATTTTCTCATCACATAATATAAATTATGCCAGTTTGAAAACTTATAGAAATCATTTAAATTTATGTTTGCATTAACTAGATTACTTAATTTTTGGCCTAATACAATAAAAACATTAAACAAGCAACAATTTTCAAAAATAAAATAAATAAAATTAAGGTAAAAGAGAAAATCTTAAATTTTTTGATATAGTTTTAACCAAGATTTTGGGATTTAGTATTATGAAGGGTAATTTAGCAAATAGAAAGTATTTCAATATAAATTTGAATTTAAAAAACATCTTTTTGAAATATTCTTAACAGAGTTAACAGTTTGGATTTAAGTGTATGTTTTCAAAATAGAGGGGAGATCTGTGTAATTAAGACAAAATGCAAGGGAGTTATAGTATTTTACTCTAAATATATATAGCATCTGTCTTCTCCCAACACATTATTTTGATATTTTCTACTTTATTTTTGCAGGTAAGTCAGATGAAGGGGAGATTGACGCTGCATGAGAACGACCCATCAGTAAACCTTATAATTTTAAAGGTAAATAACTGAGCAGTTGAAGATTTCTTAACCGTTATCTTTCATTATTTAAATTTTATAAATAAACTTCGTATACTGGTGTAACAGAAGCTTTAAGAAAAATATAACTCCATGACACATATATAGAATTTTCTTAATTAAATTATATTTAAAATTTTGATATTGTACTGATGTCTCCTGTATTAAAAGCTGTATTAATTATACAGAGAGCATTTCTATTTTATTTTGATACAGGCTAATGGAAAAGGATTTTGTGCTGGTGGTGATGTGATATCGGTAGTCGCTTCTTCAATTGCTGGTAGGTAAAATGGTTAATTTCAATTAAATATAAAAAATAACCATATTTTTATACATTTAGATTAATATTTTAATCAAAACAGGATATATATATATATATATAACTGGATTTTTAATTAGTATAATAGCGTGGAAAATAAATGATTCAATAAAAGATTATATATTGGTCATATTATTGTAAATAGATTTTAGGGAAAATAAATTTGGTGTGTATATATGCATTTCGTGTCCGTACTGTGTGTGATTAATCTTCATTCGAAGTTCAAAGATGTTCATGTTTAACATAATGGCGTGATTTGAAATAGGACACTGGACTTATTCTGCAATCTTTTACAAGAAACTACTTACATTAGATCATTTCATAGCAACCTACAAAAAACCAGTGGTGAGCTTGCTAGTCTTTCCAGATTATATATTTTCATTTTTAATTTATAATCATATAAAAGAAACATTTAATGATTTAATTAATAACATGAAGGTGTCTCTCGTTAATGGAGTGGTCATGGGAGGAGGAGCTGGTCTATCCATGAACACAAACTTTAGAGTTGTCACTGAGAGAACTGTATGTTTCTTTTTTTTCCCTCTCTTTTACATTCGCTTTGATCTCATATATTCAATATGTAGGGAAAAAAGTTATGAGATCTGCATTGTTTAGATATGGTTTTAATAGATTTAAAATTTTTAATTGATTTTTAAATAAAAATAGACTTTTTTTGAAAAAATTGACAATTAACAAATTATCTTTATTTTAAATTTTGTATGCACTAAAATAATTCTTTTAAAAAAGTATAAAAAAAAAGCGGACGGTCCAAATTTTGGTGCATATTATTATCATACTTGATGAGCACTAAAACCACTTCCATTTATATCGGGTCATTAGACTAATCTTGTTTCATTTTTGTGTAATTAATAAATAGGTGTTTGCAATGCGGGAAGCATCTATAGGACTTTTTCCTGATGTGGGTGCTTCATACTTTCTCTCAAGGCTTCCCGGTTATTTTGGTAATATTCTAATCTATGAGTACATCATCAACATAAAATTTTGACAATTTCTATATATACAGTAAAATGTTGTAATAAGAACTATATAAGCAAATACACATACGTGATAATTTTTGTCATTCTTACATGTTCTTGACCTCATCAATTAATTATTCATGCACAATTTATAATATCGAGTTTAAATGACATTTTCCTCTCTTTTTATACCACACTATTCGGGACTCGGTCAATTGCTGTTCTTCTTTCTCTTAGATCTTTTGCGTTCATGGCCCTAATAACTATTACTTTCTTAAAAAAATTCATGTTAGGAAACAAATATGAATAAAAAAATTTAATTAGATTGCTTTAACGGTCCAATTTGACTTCAAAAACACTGCAATTTATTGCATTTGTGATACTTATTTTGATTCTCCAGCTTATCTCATATGTGTGCATATATAGGGGAGTATCTAGGATTAACAGGAAGACGTTTGAATGGAGCAGAAATGGTTAAATGTGGCCTTGCTACTCATTTCGTCCCTTCCAAGGTAATTAATATATAACATTATTGTGCTCCTCCTCCTCTCCTGAATATTCTCTTCTAATCCTCAAGTTGAACCTATAATAATGTGACATTATGTGTTTACTAGTAAAATTCACGTCACTTTCCTCTGTGCAACAGAAACTAAAGTTGCAGGTAATTGATAAGTTTTCTGAAATAGCTCATATTGAGGAAGACAGCCCTTTGAAGAGGTAATTTTGTGGTTTTTTTTGTTTTGTTTCATATAGCTAGTCAGATCCCTTGCCAAACAATCCTTCAATAATTCTTGTTAATTTACTATCCAATGTGCCTGGTACATGTACTTAAATCTTTTCCCAGTATTTCGTCAGATACGGTGATTACAGCCAAATTCTTTTGACAAATTAAACAGACTGGACACAATCAACAGATGCTTCTCAAAAGGAACCGTGGAGGAATTGTTCTATCCTTGGTACGTACAGTTGAATTTAATGTTCATTTTTCATTCTTAGAAAAAAAAGATTGAAATCAGGATTTTCCAAACAAAAATTAGTACCTTATTTGAATAATGTCATAATTTTGGTAGGAAAAGGAAATAAAAGTTGACCGAGCAGCAAAGTGGATCGAAGATGCATTAAATTACATGCGCGGATCTTGTCCTACAGGCCTCAAGATATGGCTTAGATCCGTAAGTATATATTCGGATATGTTTATGTTATTAAAAAGTACTCACTCCACTTATTAATATAAAAACTTGTTTGATTTTAATTTTGATCTATAATATAAAATCTCAATCTATTTTGTCTCTCATATTTATTTATTTTTAAAAAATAGTCTTTATAATAATAATAGTTTTAGCCAATACATTTTATTAAGAAAGATATTTTAGAAAAGATAACATATATTTATTACAAATAATTAAATCAACTAATTTTTTTACTATACTCAAATTAATCAATTAACTCTTATATTAAGATCAAGAGATAGTACTCTACATAAAAAAATTACAAAACAATGAAATGACGTGATTAGGTGAGAGAAGGCAGAGTGCAAAGGATTGAACAATGCCTTTCCCGGGATTACAATATTGCCTCCCATTTCTTACGAAGAACTACCAGCAGTGATTTCTACGAGGTTAGAATTGAACAAATTATATCACTCTACAATTTTGATTGTTAAACATTATCTACTACTTTATTTAAATCTGCTGAAAAATCTTGGCTTTAATTTTCTTAGTCTTCGTTTAATTTTATAAAACTTTGTGCTTTTGTGCATAACAGGGTTCAAGAGCTAAGTTATTCGATAACGACAACAAGCCTACGGTATGACATCTAATCTCTCTCTCTCTCTCACGCACACAATAATCTTCATTTGGCTCAGCAAAATGGCATCACAAATTCTGTCTTTAATTCGTGTCTTATGATTAGTGGGATCCTCCAAAGCTGGAGCTGGTTACTGAAGAAATGGTAAATCAATTCTTCGAAAATGTTGAGGATGAGAATTGGGAGTGTCTGCAACTTCCTCATAGATCAAACATAACCAGCAAGCTGTAGATTGAAACTCATTGCAATACTTGCGGCGCATCCAAATCAAGAGCCTTTTGCCTGGGAAAAAAAAAAACAGAGAGGATATTTTTATTCTAATGTCATAAAATAAACAAAACCACGTTAGTAATTTGGGATATGCTCCCAAGTTTCTTATTATAAGAAATAACTATCAAAATCACATTACATTTAGTTAAAAGTAATGAATGTGTAAGATATATACACATTTCTTTCAGTTATATCCTTATTTGTAAATAAAATGCATGAGAGATAATAAGTGGCATATATTTAATGAGAATAAAAATAGAAAGATCAATTTAAAATATATTTAGGGACACTAAATTCCCGGGTCAAATTATATATCGTCTACTTGTCCCGCAGAGGGATTAGGGACAAATTTATTATTTAATTAGGAATCTCGGTATGATATTCACATGGTTGATCATATGTGCTGTGAATTTGTTCTAGTTAAGGAATCAATTGTTAGAAATATATGGTCGACCAATTGGATAGTCTTCACTTGTTTCTTCCATTAAAAGATCATCCATAGGATGAAGTTAAATTAGAGGGTTTGCCTATAATTTTTAATGCATAGGGCCTCTTCTGAACTGTTTATATTTAAATTTGAATTGTCCGATCCAATTATATAATTAAGTTTAAGCAAATCATTATTTTAACAAGGAGTCGTGAGACCCCATGAATATTCTATAATTATTTTAAGGGTTAAACGGTTGAAGCTTCTGGGCCAAGTCTGCGTAATTACGGGTTTTTTCTTTGGTGAAAGGTAATGAAGTAAGCCATAGGCCCAGATTCTTGTTAAGTAGACCACGCCACTTGCAGGGCCCGGAATTTTTTTTCAACGTAAAAATATTTCGACAAAAAATTGATGTCGAATAATGATGCCCCGGCAAAAACTTAATAAACATCATAAAGCTTACGGTTACCTTAATGTTATTTCAGTTTTAGTTTTTTTTCCCCTCTTGGTGACGATATACATCGTCATTTACTTCACAATAATAAGCAAGAAGTATAATTTCACTTAAAAAAAGCAAGAAATATATTATCGTTAAGTCACAAATGTTGATTTAGGTGGTGAGAAGGAAGTTAGTATCTCATCATCATGTGGATATTAATCCTATTAACAATATGAGAATCTTTTCGATTTTTTTTTTTCAGGGAGAATGTTTTTGGTATATAATTTGTAAGTTGGCTTAAATATATTCTTATTGTACGTCAAGAAATTTTTTTTAAAAATATTTGTTTTATCAAAAAATAATATCTGCATAAACTAATATAAAATTAATAAAGATGTATAAAGAAAAAGTTGTTTATTTATTGGGGCAAGCTATATATCCATTTCGCTTGAACAGAACAAATAATAATAAAAACATTTTAAAATATATTTATTTTTTGTAACAGGTAAATTCTATAAACTATGTGCAGAAATAGTTACAAAGGAAAAAATTGCTGGGAGTTCAATAAAATATATGAAAACAAATTACACTAATAAAAAATTGCACAAATTGGTGCATGGTTAAATACTGATTATTTTACATTATATTGTTGAAGCTTAAATTACTATGTAGAAGTTGAAGTAAACTAGGAATTAGGAAGGAAACCTACATAAGCTAAAAAGTGGAAAGTTTGAAGAACTGATCCTTGTAATCTGTTTGTTCATAAAAATAAGTTGGATTATTCATAGCTTAAGAATAACATTATTAATTAAAGTTTTTGAAGGTCAGAAAAGAAGAAGCAGACATATCTAAGGTTGGTCCACTCTGGAGATTGGAAAGGCTAGCTGGGTACCAAAAAATTTCACGTATCAGATTTTGAAGAACATGCGAGACATATGTGCATATACTATCTCCGGTCCTAAATATAAAAACTGGTTGACTAATTTGTGTAGATTAAAAAAATAAGTTAAGTTATTTATTTATAATAAAAAGGTATTGTTTTTCCTAAAATATCCTTGCTAATCAAGTTTATTAGTTAGAATTATCATTAATATTATTAGAAGGACTATTTTGAGGGGAAAAATGGATAAACATGAGAGGCAAAATAGATTGGAGTCTTATATTTAGAACTAAAATAAAAATCAAGTGAAGTTTTATATTAAAGACAAGAGGAGGTAGTACATCACATTTGACTTGTTAGATTTTATAATTGACTGGTTTAAATGAGATGTTAAGAAATTCAAATTTTATGTTCCCTTCGGTGGTCCCTGCACACGCACATGGGAATGGACAGTCTTCGCAGACAAATCTGTCCCAACAACCATAATTCTCACTTTGACAAAGTTTGCAAAGTCTGTTCACTGTAATCCCACATTTTCAAAATCTCGTTTCTAATCAAAATCTTTCAAATTAATGGTAATATCCACCATAATATTATTACCAAGCTTTTGTTTTGTGACATTACACTGGAAGAGATGTCTCCAACACAAACAGATCAGACTTCGACTTCAGACCTCCAAGCCAAATGTTTTCTTTTCCTTAAAACTGTCGATTTCATATCCCCCCCCCCCCCAAAAAAAAACATAACTTATCACCAATACAAAAACACGTCACATTCTAAGCAAAGTTCCTATTTCTTCAATTCCAAAATCTTTGCTGTAACAAAACATGTACAACATATACAAAACAAACTCAATCTGAGTCTTCATGTAAACTAAAACAGCACACACAGATACGCACAAACGGATCTGATCGTGGCTTATAGCACGAAATGAAATGGCATGTATAATTAAGGATCAGAAGCTGCAACAAAATTTCCTTTACCTCTATATATATATATATGTGCGGAAGGAAGAAGTGGTTTGGAAGTATATAGCTATATAGCTAGAGAGCCTAATGGTGGTACTGACATGAGAAAGAAGAGAGCCTAATATAGCCAAGAAAAAACTTGCCGGCAATATTGAATATAAATGCGGCTGTCATATATAGAGCTCCTCCGGCAAGTCATTCTTGGCTGCACTACACTCTCCTCCTCTTCATGCAAGTCCCTTTCAGGCTATTCGCCGCAATCTCACAGTTTGTGTAGTGTCTATGTCTGTGGGTGTCTACAATACATATATATATATAAGGTAGCGAGAGAGAGGGGGAGGGAGGGAGAGAAGAAGAGGAAGAGAATTAGGATCAAAATTTTATACGTATATAAAAGGAATAGGAATCTCCAGCCAGATCAGTGATAATGTAAAATAAAGGTGGATTACAGAGATATTCCTAAAGTTGGACTTATGGTAAGCGGCCTTACTTGCCAACCAAAAGGCAATAAAGTCACACCGCCTTATTGCCATGTCCTTCCAAGTTCTTTACTTGATTGGGTATCGCAGATTGGGGACCAACCCCCTATAGTTTAGGGCCCTCCACTCCTCTTTTCTGTCATCCATACCTATTCTCAGTATTGATGATTCGCGAGAATCTTTCTTGGCCAAGTGATAATTTTTTCTATTCAAAAGCATATATTTTATTATTAGAACCGCATATGGCATCACATTTTCCTATTGTGGGAAGATTAGCTTTCATTACCCATGGCCTGACGGAAAGAACAAAAGAATAATGATATTATTGTTTAGAGACGACATATGTATGACATTTAGAGGCCTGGATTAAATTATTAATTTTTTTTATTAGCTAGGAATCGACATTTATAAGGTTATAGCTTTAAAAATGATGATTACAGATGATTATTTTAAGAATTGCTGGTCATTCTTTTATTACTTACATGCATCCATCGTTTTCAGTTTTATTACTTTATTTGGAATCATCAAACGGTATTCAAAAATTGATTTTAAACTATGTATAAATCGAACGGTTGTCTCCTCGGTTGATTAATAAAAAAGTTTGAATGCCCGTTGAAACTAAAGAATTAGCAAGGAAAATAACTCATGTGTAAGTGTTGTTTCACAGTTTCTAGTTATCAAATAATTTATAGAGAAATAAAAGATAGGAGTTCGTGATGACTTATCTAAAAATGGAATCAAGTCAGTGAAGCATCGATCAATGAGGGTTTAATAGTAATATGAGTTGTGGCTAAAATTTATATCATGATGTTCCCTTTTGATGTCATTTTCGTATCATTTCTTCAACTTTTTCCCCCTACTTTGTTTGTGCTTTATTACCAAAAGATTTCGCTTTTTAAAAAGAGCATTATTTTAATGCATGTTACTTATTGATTGACAGGACATGTCCTTATTTTCATGTTTCTCAAGTTGGTAGGCTTCTAACTTCCACTTTCCGTAGATAAAATTTTCAAAGCATTTCAAAAAAAAAAATTCAAAATTTTTTTGGTGCAAATATTTTCAACCTGTTCGATTTTATATTTAGTCAGCACACACACACACACACACACATATTATCATTACTACTTCTATGGTTAAAAGACTTCTGTATGAAGAGTTTACAATAATAATTTCATTAATTAAGTAGCTTTGAATACGTTAATCAATATGTTCTTTTTACTGGCTATTTAAATTGTTATATATAACAACGTGCAGGTCCTAACAAGGAATACGGTCATGAATTGGGTATTTTTCTGAGAATTTTGTTCCAAACGTGACAAATATCAGCTATTGCATTTTTACTTCTTTTTTAAAAACTTCTAACCGCTTTCACTTAATTCGAGTTACTCAAAACACATAAATTAAACCTACATTAAAACTAGACATTAACGTTTTTCCCATTTAATTTGATTTCCTGCTTGTCTCCATCTTCGTTTAGTTCTTAATTTCAACCAAATATATAATCGGTAAGCTCCTAAGATATATACTTTCTAAATCATATGCATTATATTCACCAAGCAAAACAAATTTGTCACCTTTAGTTCCTACATTTGATTGAATTTAATTGGTTCATTATTTTTTTAATATCCCATCGATTTATTAATTTATTGGTCGAGTTAATATAATTTTGAGAACCATGATTGATAATTAAAGAAAAATCACGAAAAAGGTGAAATTTTTCCCAAAAAAAAAGTTAAAACATAGAACATGGGACGACTGTATATAAAGT